ATCGGACAACTAAAAATATATAGAAAAAATTAGCCGGGCATGGTGGCACATGCCTGTAGTCCCAGCTACTTGGGAAGCTGAGGCAGAAGGATTGCTTGAGCCCAGGAATTTGAGGTTGCTGTGAGCTAGGCTGACGCCACGGCAGTCTAGCCGGGACAAAAGAGTGAGACGCTGTCTCAAAAAAAAAAAAAATAGAGATGTTTATGATATGGAAGTCTCAATATTCTAAGCTTATAGTCTTACAGAAGGTTTCTCTCCCATATATTTGTGTGGCTTTTCTTTTGACATATAAATTTATTTTCTGGACTATTTAGATTTAGTGATTAAAGAACCAACTAAGGTGTTACTAGAGCTAGCATAAATTGTTTCCCATGTGAATGAATGAATTGTAATTCCACAGATTACTGGGAGAGAAATTTAACAAAGAGCATCACCTAGTGACATATATTAATAGTTGCATTTTATTTTTTAATGCTAAGAAAGATTGCTTTGGGTTTTTTAAAGCAAGTTTTATTGCATTTAGTTCATTTATATTTCTTTAGAAATTATCCTTTCTAATTTAAAAACTATGTTTTATCAGAACTCAGAAATGAGATGAGGGCCTTGTTTTAATATAATGAATCAGTTTAATGTAGTAAATTAGTTTATTACACTTTGATATTTGACAGGATATCAAGGCTGCATCACATATTCTAAAATATTACAGTGCTTTATTACAGAAGTACCAAAATTCTGATCATAAAGTTCACAAAAAGAATGTTTAAGAAAATTCTTATTCCTGGAACATTATGATTCATTTGCTCTGGAATATGGCGCAGGATTTTTTTCCGCCTCCTCCTCAGGTGATTCTGATCATCAGCTACAACAAATGCAATTAGTTGCATATGACAAAAAGCCATTCCCCCGCCCACCTGCCCCTTTCAAGCTACCGGAATGCAGTATCCCTTTGCTCTGTCTTTCACAGCCTCTCTTGCAACCAGGAGTAGCCAATACCAGCCATGTGAGGGGAATCTGCTGGGAGATTCTCGGAAAGGTTTACCTGGCTGGCAAAAACAAAGCGCTTTTCTACCAGGCTCTTCCTGCCTGAATATGGCTATGTAAGGACTTGAAGTCTAGAGCTTGCAGCCATGATGGGGAAACCAAATGAGCTGCAGAGACAGTGTGACATTGTGTGACATTGTGAAGCTGCTAAACTAATGAACCCTGGGCTCACCCACCTCTAGAATTCTTGTAAGATAAGGTGTAAGCTATTAATTACTACTCAGAAGTTCTGCTACTTGCAGCCAAATACATTCCCAGCTGATACCTCAGCAAGTTTTGTAACCCCTGTTCTACAGAACTTACATGGATGGCAAATAGAAAAATAAGCGTATCAAAAAATGATTAATTAGTAATGAAGACTTATCAGTTTGGTTGTTTGCCTACCTTCTGCAAAAGAAAAAATATATGGAGGCTGGGTGCAGTGGCTCACGCCTGTAATCCTAGCTCTCTGGAAGGCCGAGGCGGGGGGATTGTTTGAGCTCAGGAGTTCGAAACCAG